TAATATAGAAAAACCAGTGTCGTGTTGTGCGGAATTTTTCCGTCAAAAAGAAGATGGAGAAATAAAAATTTGTTATCCAAGACCATAATAATAAACTGTCGTGATACATTGTAGAAAAATTAATAATATTTAGGGCAAACGAACTTGAAATATAATATTCATATACGTTTTCCTTTATAGTTTAATTTGTCATTGTTGACATAAAATACGGGAACTGGAGTAGAGAAATATCTATTCACAAGATCTAAAGTTTTTTTGTTAACCCTTTCGTCCCCACTGTTGTCATATGACTACGTATACTAAAATATAAAAAAAAAATATTAGTAGGTATCATGTACTTTTTCATATCTGTGAATATATAATAGTATGGCACAAATTTGAATGTGCATTGAAAAGTTTATCGGTAAAACAAGACATTGTTGGTCCTTTGTCTCATTCACTTGCTGGTATTGAAATATTGGACATTGTTACAAATACAATAGAAACTTACAGAACATTCAGTTTCTCTCAAATATGTCAAGAGGGTTCGATGATCAAAGGTAAGAAAAATTGGGTTTCGTTAAGAATAACATTATAATGTGAATTATTACGTATAACTGTGATAAAAGTAAAAAAGATGCCAAATACCAATGTATGAGAAATGCCACTAGATTTAATTTTGGTTTTTTTTTCTCACTTAATTTGGGAATGCAAAGGTTATCAGATTTACTACTGGATAACTTCTAACATCGTTCTGAAATTAAAAAATTTCTCACTAAATGAATCCTTCGAAAATCGTACTTTCATCTCAGTATTGTCTAGATACCTTAAAATTATATCCCAATGATCGATCTTCATATTATTCAATATCGATCGTTCTCAAATTGTCAGTCACATACTCTTTTCAGAATACCCCCGCTCGACGATTCCGAAACTAGCTACGGGAACAATGACACGAGACTTTCCTCGCTTCCACATCAATCTCCGCTTCCTTTGTTTTTTTCGCGCGACCATATACACTTATTCCTGATGAAAAATGGTTTTCAGCCCCGCTGATAGCGGAATAACGGAGAGCGCGCGCACCGCGACATCACCGATGAAGCTGTTCGCCTCTCGAGATTGGAAGACCTGCGCGTATCCGGTTCTGCTTCCGTGAAAGCGTATGAATCCGCATTCCGCTCGAAAGCAGCCCGTAACACCGCGAAAACGAGACGACGACGACGACAGTGGCCGCTCCGGTGATGAATTGAAATATCGATTTCGAGTCCCGATAGCCGTGTATTGTACCGATCAGAATAGAAAACCTGTTGATTTTCTGTAGAACGGGCTAACGGAAGTAGCTGGTTCGGTAATCCTTCATTGATATCGATTCAGGCATCAACTTCGTTTCGTGGCTACTCGAAGAAACGATTCGTGATATCATTCGTATTTGCGTCCTTTCAGAGACCACATTAGACGAACCAAAAATTTGTGCGATCTTTTCTCATTATTTCTGTCTGCGTAACTGAATCTTTGTTCGTATTTTATTGAACATATTGTGGAACGTATTCGAAGTTTCTACACATCGAAGTACATCACTGCTGTACTCTGTGAGTCCATAGTTCTCTGAAAATAGACAAAATCATGTTTTGAATACAGTGTTTCGTCGATTATTGTCAAGAACTCGGGTCAGCGTCGCGACAAACATCGAACGGGAGAAATGCTTCAGAGACTCGTTTTGTTTTTTGCCCGAAGCCTCAGCCTCCGTAACAAAAGCAAAAGGGGCGGGGGCGATAAAGTATGAGCTTGACAGAATTGGCGGAATACTCTATTAATCCATACTGAATGATTATTATTTTAACGATATATTAAACTTATGAGTAATATAGATATGTTTGTCAGAAATATTACCACGCTTCGACGCGTAGAAATTAAAGAATTAGAAACGAAAAGAATAAAGCTACATTTTTCTACCGTATCGCACTCATATTGAAATTGATCATTATTTACAAAAGGGTACTCTCCACCGATTTCGATGACTGAAATATATTGTTACGGTCATTATTCTGAACAATGTGTCCCTATACAATTAGCTTGAAGTTCTTTCTATAAAACAAATATTTGCATGTTTATATCTATACTTATTATTATCATTAATATCACTTGGTGACCTATTTTCTTTTCCGTTTGGACCGCCAGTTTCATGAATCTATACAAGTCGTTAAAGGGTTAAAACACGATGACTCTATATACATATGTATGTGCGTCCAATGAATGACATCGATGTGAACTATGAATGCATTCACATAGAGCGGGCCAGGATGTAGGTACTACCGGTCGGGTCGTTATTCCACAGGCAAAAATACGTGGAAAATATCGAATAAAGCTTTCTGGTATAACGTTTCGTTTTCGAGATAATCGAATTTGAAACTTCATCCAACGTGTATGTATTATTCGTGCTAACAATAAGTAGAAACGGAATGTAATGAACAGACATGTTAGCCAAGCACCGCGTATTCAGCGAATTTTCAAATGTGATTATCTCGGAAACGAAACATCGTGCGAGAAAATTTTATTTTACATTTTCGACTTATTTTGGCATGTGGAATAACTTCCCACTCAGTTGTACCGTGACTATACATATGCGACTTGCAATACAATGTTTTCCCAGAAGATTAAACTCCCATAACATTAAAGGCGACAACTTACTGCATTCGTTGCTTAACTGAGTAACACAATACCACATTCTCGACTAATAAAAAAATGTCAATTGTTTAAACGGTTGCCTTCTGGGCCCAAAATATCAAAGACGGTTATTTCGCATTAAAATAATATACGTTTATAAATATACTTTGAATAAAAATTATTTCTGAATTATATATTACTAATAATAAACGTGGCGTACAAGAAGATCCTAGCCCAGCTAAGAAACACAACTGATCAATGTCACTATTCGCGGATATGATAGCAGGATATGCTCGCTGCTTGGGTCGAGAGGCAAAGCCGCCTGTTTGGTCATTTAAGAATCACTGGCCACTCCTGCTGAGCAGTCTATGTGTGTGACGGATACAGAGAGAGTGTCGGTTTTCGTTCTGTCTCTTTCACACACATAGGCTGCTCAACAGGGGTACCGTTTGCAGCTACCGTTGACACGTTTATGGTCACGGCAGTTCAACGACAAAGCAGGCGACTTGCCTCTCGACCCTAGCAGCGAGCGATTCACCCTGTACATGCGCCGCTAGGACGTCTGTTATCGATTCAGACGAATTAATCGTATTGAATCGCAAAAGGAATTTCGCGGTGTCGACTCGTCGCCTTTAATCCCTCCTCCGTATTTGTTGCTTCAGACATCATAATTAACGCGGGCGAACTGTTGTATAATAAAGTACGGCTGACATAATTAACGGCTCTCCGTATTTCGTGCTACCGCTCTGAAAAGAGCTGAAAGTAACTCGGTCTTATCCCGAAGCTCGTCCCCGCTTTCCCTTTCTCTCTCTTTTTCATCCCCCACCGGCTCCTCTCTATTTCATCCCACCGTGCTCGCCAACCCCCCATCGCAACCCCCCACCCCACTGTTTCTCGTTCTCCGTGGGTTCTTTGCGCCCATAAATAATTCAGGTGCTCAAGATGTCGTAAAGACATTAACGAAGGTAAAAGCTTTTAAGGGCGCCCCGGCTGAATCCTGAACTCGTTATGCGGCTCTTTCGATAATAACTCGCAATCTCTGCAGGCGGTCTATTGTCCAACGATATATGTATTTACGTTCGAGCGAAGCGCGCGAATTTTTTTTTCCTTCTTCCTCCGCTTACCTACCCAAGAAGCTGCCGGGGATAATGAAAGTTTAGCCGGCTATCGCGCGCGAGCTCTTGTAATGTACGGGGTGTCCAACGAAGTGTAGTACTATCGAGCAAAAATAAATCGAAAATGAAGAATACGGTTTTGTCGAGTGAAGCTTCGTTTTTCAGGAAAAACGATTTAGAAAATATTGAAATAGGCCTGGGTTCCTATAATATCTACATTATAGGTTGATCACTTTTAGATAGTACTGCACTGTGTGGGACACCCTGTACAATACGTTACACTTTACTGGGATAACTTTGGCCAAATGATTTTCAATGTTTTGAAAGGTACGACTGATCACCGAGGCTAGACTACACCGTACTATTCAGAACTCAGTGAACGATATTTTACCTTTTTGTTTCTATTTGCAAATAGTCGTTATTATGAATCAAGAGTTGGTTTGTGGGAGAGGAAATGTATTAACTTATTCTCGTATATAAGCGTATAGAGTACTGTTCAGAATTATTCGAATAATATGACTTTTAGAGTTTATGACAACGTTTCGACTCAGGTATATACTTTATGGCCCTCAGACAATGGTATCTATTGTTCAGGGAACAGAGCCCATCGTTTTTATGAGTTGCTTGTCATAAATGTATAATAAAACAAGAATATTAATGTGTCACTAATAGACTTCCTCGCTTTTTAGAGAAATGTTTTCCGTTTTATTGTTTCTTTAGGACCATAATCTACCAGAGTCTTATAAATACGAAGTTCACCTTTTCCTTAATCAGTTCGTCTTCGTCCTTTGGCGAAACAACATTTGTTCTAACGTGCGGAAAATGTCGAGTGTTGCATAGATTTCAATCGAAAAACGTTCTGCAGTGTGTGTTGTTCGTGGTGAAGGCTGTTTGATTGGTAATATTGCAAATAAACTAAATATATAGAAAAGCAGTGTGTGAAATATCATCAAGAAAAAAGAAATTATCTGTACTGTAATGGATAGGAAATTTTGTGTTTTTCTTAAACCAATTCAGGCGTTCGAATACTTTAAAGCAGTAATGTACGGAACACTGAATTAGAAGTTGACAATTGTGATAGAGTAGTGAATATAGTATGTTATACGCGATGTTCTCTTTGATAAGACTCTATTTTAATATACTGTGTTGAAAATGGGTATGATGAACGTGAAAACAATAGCTAGTAGGTCGTAGTTACTTTCTATCGAAGCGAATAATATCGATTTCCTTTATTCGTTTCAGATTCCGTCTTACCCAGGTTCGCTGAGGAAATACAAAATGTGACAGTCAGCAGAGGTCGAGACGCTTTGTTAGCCTGCATAGTTGACAATCTTTGGAATTATAAGGTAAGGAGGAATTCATTACACAGATAAAGACGAACGAGAATATAATTGAACGGTTCGAAGATTATTCTGAAATGAATTAAACATTGAGAAACTAATGGCTATCGTCGGAAAATAATATGACTTTTATTACTCTGTTTCAGTTGAATCATTTATTTAAGTTTTCGAACATTTATTTGAACGAATAAATTCCGTGCTACGATAAAACTCCATGCTTAATTAGTAAATTCCCCGCGATTATTTGACGAGCACACAGAATTTTCATCGCAATACAATGGAAAACACATTGCTCATTTTAATTCGCGAATCGCGAAATATTGTCGCAGCCGGCTTTTCATGTTCAAATATTATGGAACAACTCGATCTCAAACTTTTCGGCGTACATTTTTAAAATGTTGTACTCTTAATTTATGTAGAAAAAAAAATTGATTCTTTGTACTTGTTACACGATAATCCCCTTGGTAAACGAACCTTTTTTTCCGGCTGGCTGGTTGAATTTGATGCGAGTGAACGGAGCTACCGTGTAATTCTAGCCGTGACTCGCAACAACGTCAACTTCAGCCGGCTCCGTCGTTCGTTACGCCAATGGAAATACATCATGGACCGTGTCACGTTGAGTTATTAAACTAATACAAGAACGACAACGGTACCTTGGCGCGCGTAAAGAACCGTCGCGTCTCGTATTACCGTTCCTCCGTCTGATACTTGCCAGACGTGACTACTTGAAACAAAAAACCTGCGCTGCGACCAGGTGGATGTTACTTAACACAAGGGGGGACGTGAGAACTGGGGTGGGGGGACACGAACATTTTTTGAACATTGCATAAACGTTCGAAATTACGCTACCGCATTTTTTTTTGTTCAAAATTACATTATGGACAAATTTAACGACCTTAATGGATTCATCTGACCTTTTCATATTGAAATTCAGGTTCACCTCCATCTTTATTTTCTCTCGATAACAGCTCTGCTTACGTTTGGATACAAGTGTACTAACCGTGTACAAAGTGGGCCACGAAACGTGAACCCTGTAAGGAATTTTAATTATCTTGAAATGAAAATATTTCGAGATTGAATGATGATTGAGACTCTTATGCTCTGTAATGATATGTAGAAAAAAATAAGGTTCCATTTAAAAAAATACAAGTGACCTTGGAATCTTTGTTTTCAAGGTCATTTTCTAAAGAATTGTTTTCTACCATTACATATGCCTATTGAGGTAGTGTAATTTCGTCTGAGGGGTTCTCATACAACGACCATACACCCTGCCCTACACCCTGTATAATATGAATTCATGAAGTCCACAGTTTACTCATCGCTGTTTCTGGCGAAGACACAAACTGTCAGTACAATGACACTCGCGTTCTCAACCTCGACCATAAAAAGTTCCATCTGGAAACGAGTCCGGTTAGATCTCGCGAAAGGTGGAAAAAATCCATTTCCCCCCGATCCATTACCAGAGAATCGCATGTTGTATTGTCCGCGTACAAAAGATCTTGTCATTTTTCAAATAAACGGTAAAAATTTCGTTATCCTCGAGGGAAGGATCGATCGTTACAGTTGCTCCCCGCATATTAAGAAGCATGCCCTCAGTAATGCCGTGGTGGATTCGTGAAACTTGGAGCGTGGTTTCCGTATATCCACAAAAGCCTGACCTCGTGGATCGTGAGATCTCAGAAGGGGTGGCAAGGGAGAGAAAACGAGGGTAGGTTCTAAGCCTTCTTATACTTATCCTTCTATTCTCTGTATCCCGCGAAGATTTCGTAGATCCGCGAAGGATACGGGATACAAGCCAACCCCCCGGTGTATTGGATTAGGCGCGCGATAAGAAGGGAAGGGTTTTGTTGTGTGCTGCGCGCACGGTGTCCAAAGCACTGGGAAAATGGAAGAACCCATCCCGTCTATAGAAACCGCGTGTACCTACGTCTACGAACGATTCTATAAGTGAAAACTGTGTGTACTGTACATTGAAATGGCCCAAGCCTCTATATGTTTCAATTTCTTACTTTGAGGCTTGGAAAATTGATCGATTCCCTTTCCCACCCTCTCCCAGCGCTTGGTGAAAACGAACACACCTGGCGAAAGTTTCGACTGTCTCCACCGCGTGCGGATGGTTTCCGAAGAATTGAATGTGAAAGTTTCGGAAAATTGCGAACGATAAACTGGCCGGACGAAATGAAGTTCGCGGAAAGTTAGAATACGCCAATCTGGTTGGAGATTTTTCCTACCTTTTCAGCATTTTTTTTCCGGCTTTGGCCGGGGTAAAGGAGCTAATAAAAAAGATGGAAAAAAGAAACGAAGGGAGAAGTTGCCCTTCGACGTCTGTAGTCTTTGTAACATCGTATACCTGCGGAATATCACGTTACAGTATTAATGCATTACCGACCATCATGGTCGACACTTTATTACATTTTCCCCATTTACCGACACTCGCTGGTTTGTTGCTTTTTCGAAAATATTCTATCGCCGTGATGGAAAATCGGTAAGCTTCTCTTGCAAGCCGATTATATGCATTCTCAGTTAGTGTATGAAGACGTTTAACGGTGTAAAAATAGATAAACAAATAACCTGTCGATCGTAGACAATAGTATTTATCGATAATTTCAATGTAAATTCCAATGAGTGCATGAATTACGGAACTGTATGATGTCTAGTATATAGTTTCAATTCAGTAAATTTGATTTACATAATACTGGATTGTTCGGGAGGTCCGTCGGGATTTGCAAGGCATAGTTACAATCCATAATTTTCAATTATTATCATATTCCTTTTACTACTTACTTTTACAATTCACTCCGTACCTGTTCACCAAATTAAACGATATTTCCTTCGTCCAATAAATAGATTACAAAGACACTGTTCTCAAAACGTTACGAACTTTCCTGAACAACCCAATAATTCCATTGACGAACAGGGAAGCACTTTATCTATCTAAATGACTAAAATATCCTTCAATTATGAATATAATTGCTAAATTTCGAATGCTTATGCATTTATATTAACAGTTCTTTCTCTCATGTTTAGTCTGACGATATTCGTATAATATAACGCATATGACACGTTTTCATTCAAAAAACGAAAAATAAGTGACTGTATTATCGAAAATTTCCTAGATATTAAATAATTTTAATTAGATGTTATTAATTCAAAACACACCTGTGGACGCTTGTTCCAGGTGGCATGGGTGCGTGTCGACACACAAACTATCCTATCCATCCACCATAATGTCATCACCCAAAATCCACGTATATCGTTGACGTACAATGACCATCGTACGTGGTACCTTCACATAAAGGAGGTTCAAGAGGTGGACCGTGGATGGTACATGTGTCAAGTGAACACGGACCCCATGAGAAGTCGACAGGGATACCTGCAAGTTGTAGGTAAGTCCACAATGAATATTGCATTTCCGTGTTTCACGTGTAGCGACTGACAACAGAGGACAATGTGCTCACTCGAATGGCGTCGCATAACCCGAGGAACTACTTTTTTCTGGAACAAATTGGCAGCATTCAAATTGAATCGAAATATCAATTTCAAATTGAAATGTTAGAACGTGATTTTAAGAATTAATAAACGATTCGCAAGATGTAAATTCTGGCCTATGATAATGGGTTTTGTTCCGATATTTTTTTTTAATAATAATGTCATTTTGCAATCGCTGTTACATATTAGCAGCATACAACTTTGCATTTAAATATCTCGTTTCGGTATTCGAATGTTTCTCAGTCGTCCGAGAACGTGATTAAAATTTCGATACAGTGATCTGTATTAATTTCACTGATGTTCGTTACAGGCGTTACCTAATTAACCGCGTGTTTAAACCTTGCTTGTTTGATTAAGCAAATTCACGGTGAGGACAGTTTATCGATACTATCTGCTGTCTATAATAAATAGGGTCACGATGACGCAGTGCGTAATTAATCTAGTGTTGGAAACTTTTGAGTATCCAGATAATTATCTTACGAACGTTAGAGAAGTTGATTAAATCAGAGGGACAAATATTACAGACCTATATAATTCAATTGATTTCAGAACCCCTGACTGGAGACATGTTTTATCTTATTTTCTGCTTTGATAAATTCTTCAAATCCTTTATAAAATTAAAATCGACGAACTGTTTTAACTGTTCTGTAATTTACAGCTAATTATTATGTTCCGATTCTTTCGAATAATTCATTGAATGAAATTCACTTTCTCACTACGTTGCATGAAGCTGAACGAAAGTAGTAAGTTAATTAGAAAAATTATAGCCGTATCCGAACGTTATATTACAGTATTAAGTTACTATCGATCGGTTCGGGACGTGCTTCGGAAGTCAGGAATTTCATCACTTTATAGGATGAACGGGGACATTATCCATTGAGTTTTCGCATTTCTTCCTTATTGCAGTGCCACCCTCCATTATCACGAAAGACACCAGCACAGACATGGTTGTCCGCGAGGGCTCAAACGTGACGCTGGTGTGTAAAGCTACAGGATATCCGGAGCCTTACGTCATGTGGCGTCGAGAGGACGGGAAGAATATAAATTATAACGGCGAGAGTGGTGAGTTTTGATCGATCAAATTGTTGTCAGTGTCGATAGTCGTTTGATCATCCGTGGTAACGTAGACTTGACGTAGTATATTACCAAATGTTCAAGTCTTGTAATAATTTTTCACGAACGTAATCAAATATTATTAAGTTATAAGAAGCTTTAAAGTTGGGAACGTGATGTTTTCTAATACTTTATATTCTTTTAATACCACATTTAATATTTTTTTTCAAAGTGTGAAACTAACATTTTCTTTCGGGTGAATATGATTAATGTTATTAGAAAATATTGCTCCTTTGATTCCAATTGAGAAGTTTAAGTGATTTCATATAATAAAGACAATAAAGTCACATGTAACCTATGAAAATTCTCATTTTAGGGATATTGTTCTGTCAATCTGTAACAAGAACATTGGTAAATTTAATTAACTAATGTTTTTGTATGTACCTATATGCAGTGAGATAAAAAAATGGAGTAGTCCACAATGGAGTCTATCTGGACATTTACATTAGGCTAGGTAATTCCGTCTCGGGCAAAAGCAATGATTCATAAATTATTACCCAGCTTCAGTGTGTTGAAGAAAACGTTTGGCAGATCGAGCACTCGAAGTTCCAATCAGGGAACGTTGCACTTCAAACGGCAATTGAAATTTATGCTGTGTCAGGCAAACAAACTATTCCAGAATATCCCTGGCTAAATTAGTTTCAAGAATTGCGCTTCGGGGAACTGTCATTAATATATCAATAAAGATATAACTATAAAGTGAAATTCGATTGTGATAGAAACCCCATATTACATAAGTGTTCGGAAGTCCAAAAGTTTCCAATTAATACGAATGTTAGGATTTTACATAGGATACAGATATAAATTTTTAAATACTTTGTAAAATATACGTGTAAGCAGTTAATGACTTTTGAATAGTATTTCATACAGTATTTTCTACGAATTGATAAGCATTACTTATTACAAAAATTAGACCTGAATCAGCTCTAGCAAAATATCATGTATTTTAACTCCTAATATTGAAATTTACAAATTATTTTATTATTCAATATTTATTACTCGTACATTATATTTACGTTCTATAATACGTGGCTATATGGAATTTACCTTTACTAACGAAAATGTACCAGAGAAATGTTAATATGTACATTCACAGAAAAATCTATCCTATATATTCTTCGAAACATTTAATAAGACGGGAGCTTTAATGAAACAACAGAATTGTTAATAATTCAATTTTAATCATCGCTAAGTTTGCATTTTAGCAGGTCCACAAATTTTATAACCGTAACGTTCCACAGGTTATTATTATTTCGCACTGACGTAACACGAAGGAACAAGGAAGCATTCTTCGCAGGGCGAATGCTTTATCCTCCACTATCGCAAAAATAATTGATCTTCCACAGGGCTTCTGTTTGTCGTGGCTCTGTTCTAAAAATAGCAGTGCAGATTAAGAACATGGCCCTATCCGGACGGGTCGTCTCGATCGATGCTAATTACTTTCTTAATTACCAATTATGGACGGAGTGAGAAATACGACACCAGCCTGTCTCTCTCTCTCTCTCTCTCTCGGTTTCCTCACATATACACACACACGAACACAGGCACGCATTAGTGGGCAAAGATGTACAGGGAAACGCGGACGTCAGACAGTCTGTCGGTTTCAAAGGATTTTCTCAATATCGGATAAAGGCCGGATTTAATTTCTGCTCTAATTTAAATTTTCATTGCCCTCGAGGTATACTCAGGCTCAGACAGCGCACAGGAAGCTTTCGAAAGCTTGCGTCTCGTACCTGACTCCGTCGTATAAACTGTCGCTGATAAATATGCATGCGTCGAATCGTTTTCGCGGCGGGAGTAAAAAAACAATAGACACTCTGGTGCATTACGCGATTGTTAGTTCTGTGAACAATTGTGGAAACGTAATAATGATTACGATTTTCATAATGAAATGGACCGGGGGTTGCGAGGACCGATTTTGTGTAGTATATTTTTGATCGAACAGAAGTTTTTACTTGACAGATTCATTTATCATATTGTATATTTATAATATGATAAAATGTCAAATTCAGGCAAAGTCCTCAAATTTCGTAGTGATATTTACGTGGGACACCCTGTACATGCGACAATGAGAAGACTGAATTAAATAGAAATACATTCTGTCTTATCACTAATGATTTTACTCGTAGGTACGGGAAGTGAAGTATTTATGGAATATTACTACAATTTTTTAATACAATTATTTTCATACGATATGTGTGTAAATCTGAAATCCGTAGGTGTGTATTGTTTTCCACACAATATTTAGAAGTGAAGAAGATTCAATATACATTAGAGTGAATGGTTTCATTGTTAGGTAATGGTACAAGTAATTAAATGGTTCTCATTATACGGCATAAAGACGTTTTATACTTAATTGGTACGTACAAATTAAATAAGATTAACAGTTTAGCTACTATTTAACAATACGGAATGATTAATTGTTCCTTTCTCTGTATACGTTTGCCTGATTTGATTTCAATTCATTACAAAGTAATGGAAATAAACGACCAGCAATGATTGTTATAAGATATGCTGATTTCACTCAATAGAATTAATCGTTCCTAATCAGTGATTCGTGTGAATTCAATTACGGCATTAAGAACGCTATGTTATTCTGTTTAAATATTTTTTGACGAGCGCATATTTATTTGAAACATTTGTTTAATATTTTTTTATTTATCCCCATAAGTTCGTGACAAATAACAATAAAATATTCATATAATAACAACGAAGCACCAACATGACCACATTGCAAGGTACTACAAGTATATACACGGTATTAAAATTATGCACTGAAAGTTTATACACAATCATTTCATGGTGCTATATATTTAATCAGTACAATATTAATTTAATACCATATCTAATTACCATTAGATATAATTGTTAATTACAGTTATTCCAGCAGAGTAATGTAGTACCTAGTTATATTCCAAATAAAGCGTACTGATAATAACTGGTAGTACAATGGAATTGCGATTACATGGAAACTAATTTATAACCGTCAAAATACAGTCCATTGAATGAATAAGTGATACAAAGTACATACAAACTGAAGATCAACTAGAAATATACACGGGGGCCCATTTCTACAACAGTAAATAGTTTCACACCACTCAAATAATAAACCATTTTTTCCCAAAATTCCAATTCTTCCTGTTATCACAATTATAATACTAACAAGCATATATTGTTATATCGTTATAAAGCATTAAATATATTGTTATAAATTAGTAATATCAACTGCATAACAAAATGTATAGTAAACATTGCAGAAGGCATTACGAATGATTATCCAAAGAAATTGAATATTTTAAACTTTCCAACTTTCCTCTTCTCTAAGCAACACAAAAGTTTTGCTTGAAAGCTCGAAAGTGTCACCCAGAATGAATTATTAGCATTCAATCAAGCGATCTAACGAAGAGCAACGCCATCGATAGGAAGGGCTCGAATTAATTAAAAACTTATCTGCGTGGATCTTGTTAAACATGCGAGCCCAAATCCGTGGAAAATGTTGATCAATTTACAAAGCCTGGCGAGCCATCGACGGCTAATTAGGTGACGGTATCATTCGAGCCGCGTAGGTACATTGAAGGACACGTATGCTATTATATCAGGGGCATGTCATTCCATGGAAGCGTCAGATTAACGGGCGTAATTGGACGAAATATTACGGCGATGAATATGGCACGCACTGAAACCGAGCGTTGCTAACTGAGGTGTTTGCCTGTGGGCCTCGGGGACTGTCTAACGCCATCACTCCCGGTCTGATGGCCTCCAGACACCCTTGGCCCACGTGGAAAGTACGTCCTGGTGTCAGTTTCCATGCCTCCCAAAACGCCACTATACTACGTCTACAGTGCTGGGAAAAAGTCTTGCACCGTACGCAGTGACATTATCGTTCAGTGGAATTTTCGGGTGAATGTAATTGGGCAGTGAATAGCAACAAGCCTAATTACACGGTAAAAGTAACTATAAAAGCATTCTTCTGACTCTCAAATAGCACACAGACGGCTTAAGACGGCTTAATGACAGCTTAAAGGCCCCTTAGACTTCAAATAACTGTAAAATGGGCATCATCAAGACGTTGTGTGCTATCTGGCATCTGTTTTTTTTTTAATTTATTAGATTGTTGCACATGACATCATTGATTCTAGCGATTTACACAGTTGAGATTTAGACATTTAATAAAAATTCGAATTTTGTTCAAATAATGGTGAATGTGGAAAAAAATAACAATGCCAGATAAATAGATATAGTACCTGAAAATTTAGTCAAATATGTGATACACGATTATATTCGTTATTCTCTTTTATTTATTTTATTATATAAAATTCGCAAATTCCACATTATAAATACCACTAGGTGTGAAACACTGTATATACTGCTCATTTTACTTTCTTCGTCCCGATAGCTAATTTATTGTTTCCATTGGTAACTCCCATAAAGTGTCAAACACTATAAATAATTCTATTTCTTTATATTGATCCCTACGTATAAATAATTTCCTCAGGCAATATATACCTTTATTAAATACATAATGGTCTATAGATCTTATTGAATAAACTATGGCTTGTATTTATCTGTACGATTTTAGAATTTAACCTTTAACATTTGATTAGTTGGTACAGAATTCGATATTTTAATTTAATAGAGTTTTCCTTTTATATATTATTACGTTACACGATTTATGAATTTGAACTTTACTTCCTTAGAATTTGGCTATTAGAATTTGATTAATAGAAAGGAGAATATTTAGATAGAATGTAATATTGTAATTTACGAATTTGGAATCTTACGGTCTTAAATGCAGAAATTAACTTTTACAATTTCATTTAACATAGAATTCGGTTTTCCAGTTCAATAGAATAGTTCATTAGAATTAGTCATTACGTTATACAATTTAAGAATGCGGAATCTTACGGTACAGAGTTATACTAGACTTTTGTACAGTACTGTACGTATCT